TATTAAATAAATATGGAATATTTATTATAACAGTTAAAAGATTAGTATATTATAATAATTAAACCAAAATATCAGAGGCACTGTAGTGTTTTAATAATTGCATGTTTTGCGCGAGTTTATAGGCAATACTTTTATATTTAAACATACATGTAAGGGGTTTTTATTTAAGAGATTTTTTATATACATACTATTTGTATTTATTTTTAACGCATTGCATTAGAATGTTAACCAACTGATATACGAGCGTAAACAAGTTCAAACTGGTTTCAGTCGTGTAAAATCAACGAAGCTGTATAGTATCATCTGATAACTTCAGATTTTACGTGGAATATTATAGTGCGCCAAATAATTTGGCCAGGGACTGTATATATATATATATTTAGATTTATTTGAAAAATTGTCCTTAAATTTTATTTCTTTTTAAATAACACCTTTTATTTTAGATAAAATGTCTATTGTACCTTTTATGCCACAACTCGCTTTATTAAAAAAAAAAATTAAAATAAGTTTTATATTTTTCTTTATTGACGAAGAAGAAAATGAATCCTACTACTAAGTTCCAATAATTAGCGTAAAGGAAGAAGCATGAAGCATTGATTTTCTGATTGATGAAAGCCATTAATTTCCTTATAATGCTGATTTATGGTAGAAATGGCCATTACGTGATATAGCATTAACTATTACTTTCATAGCTCGCATTAACTATGACTCAAAGTAAGTTAGATTTGAATAAAAAGAAAATTATTAATAATTATCTTTTTACTCAAATTCGACAAAATCGAAGAAAATTTCTATTTTTGCGCGGTGCATCATTATTTTTTTGTTCAATTTAATGGCTATTTATTTCATTATTATTTGCGTCCGTATTTATTGGTTATTATTTTTTGTTATTTTCAAGTAATTTGTTCAAAATGTATATCATATGAGAAAATAAAAAAAAATAAAAGATTTTAAATTCTGGTATCTGAAAAGAATGATGAAGTATTATTAATTTTTTCCCTAGCATTTTAAGTATTATTGTTTAATTACTGCTCATACTTATTCCATAACTGGTTTCTGGTTCTTTTCTAACTGACATCAGCAATACATAAAAAAGAAAATATTTCGAATTCTCAATGTGTTTTTTGTAAGAAATCTTTGAGTGTCTTTTTGATTTTAATTCTATTTAAACTGGAAAGCAAAATAACATAGGTTATTTATCTATACATTTATTAATTTAAACCAGAGAACAAATATAAAAATAGACGAAAAAAACGATGATTGATTTATAAACAATGTTGATTTAATTATTCAATGTGTGACATTGTTGTAATAGTATCGTTAATTTCTTTTTCATACTTTATTTCTTGTGATATGTCCAAATTTGTTCGATTCATCCAAAATCGAGTAACTGAATTTCAGCAAATGAAATCTTTCTGAATAACAATGTTCATCCATCTTGTACGAAACTTATTACAAATAACTTAGTTTTATCACCTCAAATTTGAAAGCCCATAATTCACAACTTAAAACGAGAGAGAATAATGATCGTATTATTGTGATAGCTAATTACCCAGTAGTCAATTTTCTTTCGATAGACTTTTAGAAACGCCACAGCATTTCGAGTTATGTTAAAGATTTCAAAAACTGCTTCAAATGATGTTTGTCTTCTTGTAGGCTGGAATGGTTCTTAAATCCAGCCAAATAATGTGTTTTATGACATCAGAACATTTTATGACTTTTCCTTCCTTCAGTAATCATATTTTTATTGAAAACAGTAATTGCAAATAACTTGATTATAAAAAGAACAATTAAATTATCATTATCTAAAAATATTAAAATTGAAATCTGGTGAAAATAAAAATAAAATAACTGAATTTGGAAAACAATCAAATCCAAGAAATTCCAAAATTATCGTTTTTTTTTTCTTTCTTGTGCGTATTTTTTATTAATGCTTATGTTAGCCTTTTTACACAAGTAAAACTCTTTCTTTGTGGTATTGATATTGAAACTGATCTAGTCGTTAAATGTGCGAACTTGGAACAACACCCGAAAGCTTACACGAGTATAACCTAAAACAACTCCCGTTTTCCCAGGGAGCAGAAATACCTTCATAGAAAGTTAGCTTTCATTTCAGATTCGACATTATATCTCATAATCAACAAAATAATGATAATGCACGCTTCCTAATTGAAAAAATTGTTATATGTCTTTGAATTAAGCTAATTGCTTTTACTGTTTTTATCAAAACTGCTGTTGTTGCTTTCATTTGCAAAATACACTGGGTTTAAAAAATTACGAGAATTAGCAGATTTGGTCGATTATCTCTAGAACTACTAGACCGATTTTAATGAAATTCGATAAGTACATACATTGATACAATACAAAACAAATAACCATCAACAATTGTAATATGCTTGCATGATCGTGCGTAACACTTGTAGGAGTCGGAAAGTATTAAACAGCGGTTGCAGAATAAACAACAAAAATGGGCTAATAATATTGTCCCCTCTTACAGATTTGCAGGCCTTGTGGAGTAATTTCATACTTGAAATAAGGCGGTTTTTCATTTCCTGCTGTAATTGATCCTACTTGTAAGGCAACGCTGGTTTCATTCCCTGGATGGTTCGCGAAGGGGGGAAGTGAGTTGCAATTCAACTCTCCACACCGTTCCAGACATGCTTTATAGGGTTGAGGTCTGGATATCTGCATGGCGAATATTCTCACTCTCTAGAAATTCGTTGATCAGAAGAACTCTATGTGACCTCGCGTTATCGTCCCTAAAAATTAACTCATGGCCAACTGCACCCCTGAAGAAGCAAACATAGGGCTCCAAGACCTTATTTCTATACCTCACACCAGTCACAGAGCCTCTTTCAATGACATGGAGAGGTGTGCGGCCTTCCAACAGGATCCTGCCCAGATGTCAAAAAATACACAAAATCAAAAGATGACCTCAAAGAAAGACTTCGAATCAAGTAATCAAGAAACCTCTACTATAACGTTTATTATAAAAAGGAAGATTTATTTACAACAAAATTACAGAATCGCCGAAAATTCAAAAGACAAATCTTAAACTCTCTCAAAACTATTATTTTCATTCTAAACTTACCATGGCAACCACCAAAAAAACTTCTCGTTGCAGTCTTTAAATAGGAACAAAAATAGGCTGCGCATAAGCACACAATATTTCACATCCTCCCACCTAAGTTAACAACATTAACAAAGCTAACTTACATAGCCAAAAGATATATTATGTTAAAATGACACTTTACAAGAATTTGAAATAAAAATTAAAGTTCTAAATCACTATGAAGTTTTTATAAAGATAGTTTGTCAGGTTTTCTAACAGCTCGTCCACTCCTAGTCACAACGGGAATTTTTGCAAAGCTCTTATCTTTCAAAGAAACTGGAATGTTGTCCTTTCTACTGTTATTGGTAATAAATTTCTCACACTTAGCAACTGGTAAACTTTCACCGGAAGAAATTTTCTAAAGGATACACCCTTTGTACTGCTCTGATTAGCTCTCCTTGTTTAGTTTTCATTCTCACTTGGCGTACAACTCCATCAGTACCCGGCATTGTTTCCATCACTTTTCCAAGAGGCCATAAGATCCTTTTCTTGTTATCATCTCCAATGATCACAATATCACCTACTCTCAATGGTTGAAAGGTGTTCTTTTTCTGCCTAGTACACAGGGCGCCTAAATATTCTTGACGAAACCTTACTCGAAAAGCTTCTCTGATTGTTTGTAGGTATTGTATTCTCCTTCACAGATGATTGGGATCAGTTTTGGTTTTGATGTCCGGAACAAAGCTGGGTTTTATCTCTTTGAGGAAGTCTGCAGGTGTAAGAGCAGTAAGACTGGCGTCAGAACACACAGTTATCAAAGGTCTCTGGTTCAAAATGGCCTCACGGTTGCATAAAGCTGTTTGCATTTCTTCATATGTTAAACTCGCTCGACCTAAGGTTTTCTTCAGCAGACCTTTCATCATTCCAACAAGCCTTTCCCAGAAGCCTCCCCACCAGGGAGCACTAGGAGGTATGAATTTCCAGGTAATCTGCTGATCCCTCGCCTTAACAAAAACCTGTTTAAAATCAATGCAAGATAATGCCTTTGCACTCCCTGTAAAATTCGTTCCGTTATCGCTGTATACAATCGAAGGTTTTCCTCTTCTACAAACAAATCGATGGAAACATTGTAAAAATGCCTCAGTTGATAGTGATGTGACTAATTTAATATGCGTAGCTCTATAAACGGCACAGGTAAAAATGCATATCCAGGCCTTTGAATTGTCTTTCAAAATCACAGGACCAGCAAAGTCCACTCCCGTTACTTGGAAAACAGCTGTATCTTGAACTCTATCAGCTGGTGGTGATGCAGTTGGTGGATCTACAGATTTGGCAGAAAAACGCTTGCAGACTACGCAAGATCTCAATACAGATTTTACTGTTCTTCTACCACACAGCAGCCAAAATCATTCTCTAAGAGAATTCAATGTGTAGGAAACACCAGCATGTCCATTTTTCTTATGTTCAAACAGTACTAAACGGTTTACTATAGAATTCTCTCCAGGTAAAATAGCAGGTGTTCTAAACTCTTCAAAATCATTTCTTTTATTTACAGTTGTTTTTAATCTATAGATTCCTTTCTCATCAATAAATACATCTAGAGTTTTAAGGCGTTTATCTGAAACTCCTGTAAATGACTCCCGCTGTATTAAGTATACAGTAGTTTTCTCAGCTTCTTCTAATTCCTTAACAGAAAGATCTCCTTTTCTTCTTTCTTCATTTTTGCAATTAAAAAGGAATCTCTTCACCCATGCCATAGTATGTACAATTTTCCGATAGTCAGAAATATTAGATCTCAAAAGTTTTGTCACTTCAAAATTTATCATTGAGGTTGTGACACCTTTTCTTCTCTCACAGTTTACTTCCTCCTCATTAACGACATCTTCAGACGAAGGCCACAAATCTTGAGGTAAGTGCAACCAACTGGGACCCTCTGATCATTGCAATCGCAGAATTTTTTGTGCAGAACATCCTCTACTTGGCAAATCAGCTGGGTTCATCGTCCCAGGAACATGTCTCCAGGTGTTAACATAAGTCTGCTCTCTGATTTCACGCACTCGATTGTAAACAAAAATGGCCCATTGTTCACTTCTTTTGATCCAGGCCAAAACAGTTGTGGAATCTGACCAAAAAGACACTTCATCATGAGTTACCTCAGACAAAATTGAAGTTGAGAGACGAGATGCAATGGTTGCTGCCAGAAGTTCAAGTTGTGCTATTGTAATTTCTCCTTTTCCTGTAGGGGCTACTCTACTTCTCGCCTGTAGTAATTGAACTCGTACATTATTCTCAGACTCCACTCTAATGTAAACAACCACAGCATAGACCAATTTACTTGCATCGCAAAAGAAATGAATGGAAGACTTCTTGGGGCTGTGAATTTTCCTCGGTTAAGTCGGTGTACTCCCACCCTCTAAGATCGAATTTTCTACTTGCCATTATTTCAGTAGCAACTCTTTCAAACATATTCAATTCTTCTATATCCTTGACACCCGTGACACAATTGTCTACATAAAAACTTTTCATTAGTTTTTGTACAACATATTCAGGATAAGTAGCCTTTTGTTCCGTTATTTCTTTCAAAATATTCAACAGGAGGTATTTGATAGTTGAGGACAGCAAAAACGGGCTACAGGTTACTCCAAATACTACCCTGCAATGCCTGTAAATCTTTAAGCCTGTATCACTAAGCCATAAAAATCTTTAGTAATTCCTATCAGTTTCAGTAAGTCCGATTTGTAAGAGGGCTTTACGTATGTCTGAAACGACACCAATTCTCTCAGTTCAAAACCGCATCAAAATACTTGGTATCAATTCAATAAGATTTTCACCCTTCTCTAAGCAATGATTTAAACTTGGAAAACCTTTGGCTTTAGATGAAGCATCAAATGCGGGTTTAATTTTGGTGGTGCTATTTGGTTTTATAACTGCACGATGAGGTAGGTAGTGTACATTTTCCTCACAATTATCCTTTACTTCTTCTATTATTCCCTCCTCCATCCATTCATTAAACACTTGCTCATACTCTTTATAAATCTACTGCGATTTAAGGCGGTTGACAGTCGAATTCAATCTTTTATACTCCAGGTCATAGTTGGTTGGCAATGGAGGATGATCTTCCAGCCAAGGCATGCTAACCACAAAACGGTTTTCTACATCTAGTCTGATTGTCTCCAAAAAGTACTCTTGTGTAGCTCTTTGCAACTCTGCCTTCACTTTCTTCGCAGATGGATCAGTGATTCCCAAAACATCCAATGACCACAGTTGATTCACAGATGCTTCAGTCAAAAGCAATGAAAGAGAGGAATTTGTCGTCACAGCAACATCACTTATAGGTATCTTCCCCATAAGAGTCCACCCTAGATGTGACTCAACGGCAACAGGACCTTCAATCAAACATTTTACATTGCCTGTGAGAAGCTTGCCGGCCACATCAGCTCCAAGTAATAATTTGACGTCATTAGATACTCCTAGTGAACTATACTCAGTATCATTCACACATATTCCATATTCATTCAACTCCTTTATCCACGGACCATATGGGATGCGTTTGACATAATCACAAATCACTGGTTGATCTAAACAAAGTACTTTGCAATTAAATTTGTTATCAATACTCGCTAAAGTAACTTTATTGAGAATGATACTTCTCACCTGATGATACACCTCCAAATAATTTATGTACTAACTTAATTTCTCCGCATTTCTCTTTACCCAAATATTTGATGACGTCTCACGTAATATATGTTCTCTCAGAGCCTGTATCAATAATAGCTCTCACAAGTTTGTCTTTATTTCCATTTCTTATGCGCAGGACTAGAGTCTGTAATAAAACTTCAGAATGAAGTGATTGGCTAGTTAAGACGTTATCGCCAACGACATTCTCGGTTGCTTCACTCTCTGGGTTTTGAAATTCATTACTGGCCGCAACTCCTCTGCAAAGAAGTATGTTGTGCTTTTTTCCACAATTAAAGCATGGTTTCCGTCTGCAATTTATTACTCTGTGCCCTGGTCGTAAGCATAAGAAACAACAACGTGATATTGCAACAGCAGTTTCTCTATCATTTAAACTCCAATTTTTTGCATATTCACAATCCCAAGAATTGTGCTGGTTTTCACAAAAAAGGCACTTTCTCTTTTCATATGGTGAAGTAAGCAATTCAGAAGTGGAAGGTACTTGTGCAGATTTACCAAATTTTTGTTTCAAGTGGAATCTACCGTTCGTAGGAATTCTTCGTTTCTCACTATCATCTATACCTCTCACGAAGGATTGAGATGCCATGTTCACTCTCTCTTCAGCCTCCACTTCTCCATCTAAGAACTCTAGCAAAGTATCCAAGTCAGTCTTGGTAGTTGGTTCAGCTCCTTCAGCATTTGGAACAACATGAGCAATTGACCGCTTATTTATAGTCCGATATCTTTCCCACGCTTTGATTGTTTCCTCCGGAATTGATGACTCGGCTAGAGGAAACAACATTGCAGCATATTTTTCTCTTGTTACTCCTAACACTTCTAGTGATCGAAGTTTTGACTCAATTTGATCATAAAGTTTCCGCAGAGATTTCTCTGATTTGCTTTGCTTCTGTAATACTAAAGCTAATAACTCTCTCACATACACTTGAATCAGCAATTCATCCTTTCCATATCTAATTTTAAGTTGATTAAGTGCAGTTTTATAACTCTCTCCACTCGGTGGAAAACTCTTTAAAAGTTCATCAGCAGGTGATCCTTTTAACATGGATTGCGATAAATAAAGAAATTTATCATGGTCGCCAATATTCTGATCTTTGTCAATTTTCTCAAATTGGCACCAAAAACTGAGCCAGTTTTTCAAATTTCCATCAAAGACTGGAAGCTTAATCTTTGGATACTGCAAATTAGTCGGACCAACAACTAAATGGCTAGTAACGGACATATTATGTTTTNAGTAAATTTTCCAATTTAATATCAAAAACTCTAATTTTATCAATATAAGATTCGGAATCATCTATTTCTTTATCAATTTCTTTTTCATCTCGAACTTCCGAAAACAACTCAGTTCTTACATTTTCTTCAGATATAAGTAATTGCTTACCTTTTTCTGATATGATTCTTAATTTCAACAATTTCTCTTCATCGTTCATTTCAGTCTCAATTTTTGCAAAATCATTGCATGACTCAGTAAACAATCTACGATGCTGTGTTCTCACTTGTTTCAATACTTCCATTTTCACTCAGATTCAGTAATAGTCGTTTTCTAAAATCTCAACAGAAATTCAAAGTCCTGTAGCGGACGCCATATGTCAAAAAAATACACAAAATCAAAAGATGACCTCAAAGAAAGACTTCGAATCAAATAATCAAGAAACCTCTACTATTACGTTTATTATAAAAAGGAAGATTTATTTACAACAAAATTACAGAATCGCCGAAAGTTCAAAAGACAAATCTTAAACTCTCTCAAAACTATTATTTTCATTCTAAACTTACCATGGCAATCACCAAAAAAACTTCTCGTTGCCATCTTTAAATAGGAACAAAAATAGGCTTCGCATAAGCACATAATATTTCACACCAGACCATTAAACCTACGCAGTCATAATGGTCAATTTTGTGAACATTGGGGGATAGGTAGATGGTCCCTGATTCTCTCCGTATAAACATACGGCGAGAATCGGTGTTTAGGCTGAACCGGGACTCATCAGTGAAGAGAACGGTTGCCCATTGACCCATGCTTCAATCTGTAGGCTCTCTGTGGCATGCTAAACGGACTCTCCTGTTCGTAGAAATGAGCGGGACGCAAACAGCGGGTCTTCTTGCAAGCAACCCTCTCTCATGAAGTCGTTTGGAACAGTCACCCTTGATACACGGGCTCCTGTGGCTGCATACAAGTCACAAGAGAGCTGCGAAGCTGTAGCCCTCTGTTACGCCTCGCTATATAATGGACAAATGGCGATCTTCCCTGGTCATCGTGGCTTTTGGACTACTTTGCCCTGATTTCTCTCGATGGATCTGGTATCCTGGAACTTTTTTCAGATATTATACACTACGCTGGGTGTTAAATTGAACTCTCTACAAATCTGCAATTGAGATTAGTTTGCTTCTAGCCTCCCCATGATTCGACACCTCTTTCCTTCATCTAAACCAGGGGTAGGCAACGCGGCGCCCTCGATTGATTTTTAATGCGCCCTCGCTGGACTAATGTAAATGCTCTTGTCAAATAATGCTCTTGTCAGACGGCGATAAACAGCAAGTAGTCAGTTGAGTTTAGGATTGTGAATAGATTAGCAGTTTGTTAACCTCGAGCGTATCTAATATTATAACACGCACGTATTTTTTGTTAGTGTGTGATCGTATTTCGAATAGACCACGCATAGACAGTGCATTTAAAACTGCCAAGTAATCCGAAATAATTCTTTTCTTTCAAAACCCTTTGTTGAAGGCGATGAACTGGATCCTAAATTAAACAGTGATCTAGTTTGGATGGGTGATCTAGTTTCGCAACTGATGTAATTTCTGACGCATCAGCTAGGTTAACTGTGACTGCATTGTAACTTGTCGTTTTAGTTTCAGTTCGCTTTTATGTTTGAGCTTCTGTTTGTTTATCTTTGGTATAATGCCTCTTTGCTATGCTTTCGTTATGTTTTAAATAGTAAACGTTGTTAAGTTTAATAACGTTGTGTTTCTTTTTAAAATAGAGTTGTTATAGTTCTAGTTTTTTGTGTTTTAACGCCCTTCATAGATAAATGTAAAAGAAAAAGAACATATTCTTTTAACG